ATTGACAGAACTATGTGGGACCACTCGGGACCTCTTACTTAATCCAGATTTCAGTTGGAATGGAAGTGCACAGAAGGATGGTCAGTTCAAGCAGTCTCACCTGCCGACGGGTGACTACGATCGTTGTTATCATCCCACTGAACAGACACAACAACTCAGTGCTCCTCGATTTTTGTCGGCACCACCACCACCACAACAACAACAGCAGCAACAACCCCCGACAGCCCAGTCAACATTCACACAGTCTTCACCCAACTCTTTCCCTCCCGCAAACTTCTATTCGGGCCTTCTGACAAACTGGCCCATGAATTCCATTACCTCTGTCCCTCCCAGTCCCCTCACACCACCTTCAAAGCCTCATGCTCACATACGGTCGGTTAGTGGTGAGTTATCTTCAACAGCCAGTTACGAGCCAGATCTGTACACGAATGTCAATCGACCATCACCTCCCCTACCGCAACATCAACAGCATCAACAGACCTTCTTTACCCAAAAGTCCAATTTGAGGTCTTCCCTACAGATCCCCCAGATGCAGCAACACTTTGCCTCCGAGGAGGAACTCGACATTCCGCGCATGGATCCCAACCTGTCTGAGATGGGTCTGAAAAAACAATGTCATGTGGAGAAGTAGAGCTGGAATTATGAAACTCTAGAAGATATTTGTTCCAGCCTCCCATTTTCCGACTATTTCCTGTATGCGTATTCACCTGCGGAAGTGGATGAATTTTAAATGCCTGAGGGACCCGCCTGCCGAACTTGCGCGTAAAGTTGACCAATATATCCCCTTCGCAGGTAGGCGGATCTAACACCAAAGAAAGCAGCGGACGTTGGACACTGATCAAGGGCTTCAGGTTCACGCCAAATCAGCGCTATGCTTCGCCACACTTTGCCAAGGCCAGCATTTATCAGAGGCAGTCAATGACATACTTTTTTCCCCGTGGATTTGAGGACATCTCTTTTTAATAACCCAGAAGAAGAAAAATATGCAAATTTTCGTATACACATGTAGATCATGCAGAGTCGGGCGTTTATGGCTGTGTCTTGCAAACTAATATTATATGAAGTAAAACTTTCGGGAAAGTCTTTTTGAATCAAGTTTAAGATTTTCTTGATACGTTTTCCTCTTCTACGGTTTATTGAACGATTAAAAAATGTGAAAAAGGAGAGATTCATCTTGTCTATGGGAATCCTATGAGACTCTGTCCGAATTGTCCTTTTAGTTCACATGCTATAACAGCTCCCATTGAACGCAAACTTATCCAAGCGGGTATTTAATTACTATTCCGATTATCAGTGGATAATACTTCAGTTTCTGGACCTCCAAATACAAATTATCCGTACCTACCAGAAAGATATAATGCCACCGCTTATGTCGTGTAAATTTAAAATGGTCTAAATGAAACACTCCGAAAGGAAAAAAACGAAAGAGGACGATAAATTAAAAAGCAGAGCCAGCACAAAATGCTTGTTCACACAACTTATCATATGCAACTGAATATCAGTCTTTGCTAGCACTCGATCTCTTTTAAGATACAGTAGTCGCCGGCTATTAAGCCCACCTCGGGCCCAGACCAAATTGGGTCTTAATAGGCGGCGGGCGCATTAACCGGAGAGTCCTCGTTCTTGATTAGCGAACGCAGGATAGGCACTATACATTACATACGTACTGTA